TGTCACTGCATTAATGCAAGTATGACTCTTGTTATACTCTTCCAAAAGATTCTTCCAAAACAGAATTCATTTTCCATCCACCATTGATTATTTGAAAGATTTCAAACTGGCAGAAAAAAAAAAATGCTATGTTGTTTTTTGGCCCAGTCAGAATCYGGGAAGTGGGGATTTGCTGTTACCTAGTTTGGGGCCAGGATGCCCTTTAAGTGATTTTAAAGAACTTCTGTCACGCAGAAAGCCCACAATGACATGACACAGAAGAGCCAGGTGCTCCAGAATAGAAGGGAAGACTGGGAAAAGTTTGGCAGGAATAAACATAAGGCAGAAATTCTGACTCAAAAGCAATGAAAAACAAAGCAACCAGTGAAAGACTCCCCTCCTCCTCTTAACTTTTCATAATGAAAATGAAGATGAAGCACTTGCCTTGCGGTACCAGAGGCACCTTGACAAAACATTGTTTTAAGAGATCCCAGTCACATGACTACAGTCATTAAAACGTAAATCGATTCAGAAAGGATTTAATTAATTTAATGCATCTGGCAGTAATTATTATTCTGCATTTATTATGTAGGATTTTTATTAGCTTAATGGTTTTATACATTTATCAGATAGTCACTGAAGAAGATTTCAAGACTCATAAAGCAGCTGAATAAATCTTCTTTTTTTTTTWAAACAGTTTTATTATAATCATTTGCTATTTTTTCTCTTACCAGTCGTGACAAATTTCTGGTGCTTTCTTGAGAAAAATCTTTATCCAACAGCCAATAAAGTCAACAAACAGTAGAGTGATTTCTGCAATGCCCAAAGATTAGTGTCAAAGATCATTTTCTTCCTTTTTATTTGATGTTTTAAGAAACAAGCCATTTTAACACTTATTTTTAGAATAATCATGCATGTCTTTGACAAAGTTTTTTTTTTAAAAAAACGAATCAGCATCCTAAATAACACCCATATCTCTTCTCCAATACTATGTGGAAATCTAAAAGATTCTGTCTTGTAAAGGATATCTATATTTTTGAAAATAGTTTAGTTTCAAATCAGAATTAAAAAAAAATCCTAAATTTAACTTCCTCTGTAAAGAGAATGTACATATTTCCATGTTTTGAATTAAAAAATCCAAGTGAATTTAAAGCAAAATATTAATTTCAAATCTACTTTATTTCAATAGTTGTGGTTGTACTATAAAAATTGAAATACATGTTAATCTAGTCCTATTGAACAAAAAAACATTGTGAAAGGTGCCACTTACTSCTGACAAAAATACTTCACCTTATTCTCTAAAGGTGTGGTCAAGTTGGGARTTGTGCAAAAGGAGAGTTTTACTCCCCAAAGAGACAAACCTGGTGGATATCCTAGGACTAAGGCTTATCTCTGGACCGTTTGCTGAGGGCACCAGACCTTCTGTGTGACAAGAGCAGCTGGAGGAGAACAAGACAGAGAAGTCCACCTCAGTCCACCTTGTATTAGTCCAACTATTTCTCATGGACAGAGGGACAAGCTCAAAATTTCTCCTGGCATCTATCAAACTTATTCTGGAAGAGAAAAGACTTGGGTTAAAGGGCTACGTAGAAAAGTCTGATATTCTCCAAGCTTCCTTACCACGGTCCYACAGGAACCAAGTGGAAACCAAAGCATCTACAAGCTCTGGAAGCTAAAAGAGGCAGCACTGAGGAGTTCTCCCAGATAATTTTGTTTGCATTTACTGCCTAGCACAAGGGAAGCTCTTGTTCTGCAGATTAGCCTTGCAAGATCATCCCCAGCTTAGCTTTGCTGTTGTGGCACATATAAACTGAAGATTTTTTATAGTTAACGCAGTCCCACTGCATTCTGCATCTCATATGCACTTGCTTTCAAACAMAACTTCCATTAAATTTGCCACCCAAACATTGCTTAAAATGTGCTTTTGTAAAATGGTAAATGTTTCAAGTTATTTTTCCTCTTAAGCAAGACTTGGGATTTTATTAAGTTTACTAAGAGAATTAAATGGTTCTTTTAGAATGATTTCTATTTAGACATAATTTAAAGCATTAGTAACTTTTAGACATCAGTTTTAGAGTTATTTTTGATGTAAAAAAACGGATTTATTTTACAGGCAGATGAAATCCCCAGTAATCTCATCCTTTTCAGTTTACAACTGCTATAGCCAAAACTAATTAATTAGAAATATTAAAGTTGGGATTAACTCTTGGACTTGATTCACAAATCATTTGTCTGTCAGAACCACCAGCTTGACAGTGAGCTTGATTTTTAAAAGTTAGCATTATACCACTGATAATTAATTTCAAAAATCTATGTGACCTCAAAGGTAGAAGGAAAATTACAAAACTTATATTAAAGATTGTTCTTAAAGGCTCAGTTTCAAGTAGAAGGCAATTTTTGTTTATATTTTCTCTACTGAAGAGGTAAATAAATCAGAGGCATTATTTTTGTTACCCACACTTCTACTAATTCAAATAGAGGCTTTTTTTATTATTATTATTGATGAGTTTCATGGTTAAATGTTTAGGAGGAAAATAAACATAACATGAATGTGTTATATTTATATGTGTGTATATAAATATATATGTTATATACATAACACTAATAGGGCACAAAATTGTCTTCTAAAATAGTGGAATGAAAGAAGTCAGCTAGAAACGATAAAAACTGGAGCAAGATTTTGTTTAGATAGGRTTTTCCAAAACAGGATTTAGTGAAATTTCCAACACCTGAAGAGTCACTGTGCAAATTTGCATAACTCCAACATCACTTTTCTCAATCATATAACATACAGAATTTGCGGAGAATGCAAAAGTTTTCAAACACAAAAAAAAAAAAAAATAGTTCCATGTTGGAATGAAGCTGCTTGGCAAAATCATGGCCTAATTATGACAAATGAAATGCAAAGAGAATAGCATTTTCAGGAAAGTCTGCATACTGCAGAGATGCAGATCCTATAATATCCTATTGCAAGGATGCAGAAACTCTGGACRGTGAATCTCTGGTCTGAAAAGGTATTTGTTGACTTTGGATCGAATGTATTTATTCTTAAAATAAAGCAAAGCAATGCAACATCCTCCTCCCCTCCCCTCCCCTCCAGTACTTTTCCTTAGAAATTAAATCAGGACTAAATTGACCTGGAAAAAAAAAACATTTTTAAATTAAGCTTGTATATCAAGTCAGAATTGAGTGAGTAGTATGGGACACGCAGATGAACAAAAACTAGAAGGCAACAGAAACAACATATAAAATCTGAACATCATTAACAGTGGCCGGGACAGAAGAAGGGATGAGGGAATGCAATTTATTTTTCAAGTTTGCCTTTCAGGAAACCTTAAAGACAATGAGGAAATACTTTAAAGAAAAACCTGATTTCTAAGAGGACCTGTGATAGACACTGACTKCGGGTGGTTAGGAGAGTTACTTTAAAGCTTAGCCCTTTGTATGCGACTGCAATTAGATAAGGCCTAATTAAGACTTCTCACTTTTGCCCTGACTGATCTTACAACAATTACTATGGAAAGCAAAAGTTTGCACTAAGTTGCAAAGTTAATATTCTGTGTCTTTGGAATCAAAATACTTCTAGAAAGAAGGAAGCTTGTTAGGCATTTGTTACCTCTTCCAGTCTCTGCAGACAGGAAGACAGGCGCAGATGAAGAGCTGAGAAGGACAAGTCAGCAAACACGCATATCATAAATCCAATGGTCTGATTTACATCTTCATGAAAATGCATATTTTAAAATTTGAGAAACATTATTATGTTGATTAAATATGAATTGTTTCATACTTATTTCCTCATTTCCTAAATTAAGATGCCTAATAAATATTTTATCAAAGTCCTTCAGAGTCACGATAGCTTTATAAATATCCTGTTGAAAATCTTCTATCAAAACTGTCAACCTCAGGAATCTCAGGATGTCTCAAGTAGAACATGGTCCTACTTTGGTCTAAACAAATTTCAGTTCAACTASTTATTGAATGCATCACAATAGCACTTGCATTTTATATACTAGCAAAATAAACAAACATATTCTTCTGTTATGGTGATACACAAGCTCTTAGAACAAAATCTTTTTCTTCTGCATAGGGTGTGATAAGTCTTTAAGAACTTCACAAGGTCAACAGAAGAAAACTACAAATTAACACCAGATTATGATTGGTTACCAAACTGGATTTATCCAAAATAGCAACAACATGGCAAAATTGTTTGGCAATTTGGGAGCAGAAGGAATCAGACGCTACCCCCATATTCTCACTAGCTCCTCTAACCTGAGTGAACTATATTTTTGTAAAGTTAATATTATGAAATCAGAATCATAGACTGGTAGTCATTCTTAATGCATACTTACKTCAGCTGAATATCAGCTGCAGCATTTCACCTACAACTTGAGAAATATTTAAAATACATCAAATTTGAAAAACGTCATTAAACATCATGAGGCTGCCAAAAAAAAAAAAATGTGACCACATTTGTTTTAATTTGAGGAAAAAATTGACCTTCTGGCTCATTTTAGCTTAGCAGTTATACACCACTTAACCAAACATTGAGGGGCTGGATTGCTAAAGCAACATTTAAAACTTATTCCCTTGCTGTCTTTGTGTTTGAGATTTTAGCTCCCATGGCTTTAAAAAAACATACGGAGATGAAGGCCTAGAGGCACTACTACTTTTTTAGGAAAGATTCCCCTTGGTGCTGTCCAGCCTCTGTACCTTCCTCTCTTTCCCTTATGTTCATATCCAGATGGACACAGCTGGCAGGGCCAGAGAACCCCACCTGACACCAGGGAAGATACTGACACTGACTTCAAAAGCATTAATCTCTTGAATCATTCCAGTGTGGCTGGTTTTACTGTAACTMTGCTATGCAAAAGTCTCCAGCAGTTTCTTCATTCTGGAAATTATTCTAAGCACATCCTCGTGCTTCTCTTCTATTGTAACGTTAGCCCACACACCCTAACGTAGCACTAATTTCTTTCTACAGAAAAGAATTTCTTTCTTCTTTTTTATTATTGCACAATATTTCAGTTTAAAAGATTTGGCTTGTATCCTCTGGCAAGGGGAATTGCTGATTTTATGAAATATTATCCATCAACTCAGATAAATTTGCTCATTTTGCAAAGTTCGTTTTGCAAAAGACTTAAAGTAGAGGCATTTACAGTCTGTCCTAAATCATTTTTCAGCTACTTAATACATAGCCTACTATTTTTGAGCAGTCTCATGGAAACTGTTATTAACTGTGTTTTTATTTGCTTTTTGTATTTGTTGACGCTCAGATCCCGAAGTTGGTAAAAATCCCAGGAAACCAGTCACTCATTCATTCCTACAAATACATATGCATGAATTATAATTATACAATAACTCATAAAGTCAGAAATTGCCAACAATAAAAATGATATTCACTGTTAAAAGAAAGGGAAGAATTCAATTATGCTAAAAAGAAAGAGCCCTTGTTTGCGCCCCCACTCTCCCTAGGGAACTCTATGCATGGGATTGAAATGTAACTGTGTCTAGCAGTGTTTATGTCTTAGCACACAGGATTGTTTCTAAGATGCTGGACTTGAAAGGGACTTGAAACACAGCCGAGTTTCAAGCTTGGGCATTTTCTGCTGAAAAGAGATTCTGCTGGCTCTCCCATCCCTGCCTGTGCCCTATGGCTCCCTGGAATAAAAAATGGACACGATATCTTTACATAAATATGGWCTGAACTTCTCTGTACAATAATGGCCAAAGATTGCTTTTCTGTGTGCCACCCACATCATAACCAGATTTCTACTGACTAATAAATTTTGAACTGATAGGCACTCACTGTGACTCTTCAGATTCAGAAATAAGGCCAAGAGGGCTAGTAGGCTTGAGCAACGGCTGCTGTCATCTAGCTAGGGTACAGAATTGGTTCTGAAATGAAAAAGAATTAATGTGTGAATTACCACTTTAAAGGAAGCACTCCTAGGCTTTCTAACACTAATCTTTTAGTCATCACCCCTACTATAAATGGTATCTTTCGCATTTGCAAATATAACATCTGACAGATCTTAACTTCCCAAGGGGTATTCTTAGAAAAATTTTAAATTTTGAATAAAACAGCATATATCAATTATTTCCAGAGAGGAAGAGGGAAACAAGGCAAATAGGGTTTCATCTGTTTTAGTTAGTTATTTTGGTTTTTATTTGTTTTGTTTTTCCAGCTAACATTTGTAAACTCCAAGTAGCTTCTGGATAACTACTCAAGGCACTCATAAGAACAGTAACTTTCCATTTACCTTAAGCATGTCTCTAAAATCATATTCTAAAACCACAGTAAATTCCTTCCTTTTAAACTAGATCACTAAAATTTACCTATTTGGAACTTTTTGCAGCCTTCTTAAAATCTGAACTGCTACACATGACAAATGAAAAAGAAATGCTTGTGCAGTGCAGAGTTGAAAGCAGTAGACRCAATAAGACATGAACCCTAATGCACCCACCATGAAGTCAGAAGAACAAGGCATGGACAACTAGGCAGAAGTAACTCAATAACCTCCTAGAGAGCTCACCTTCATGTTGTAAAAGTCCTCCTAAAATGTATGGATATGGGCCTCAGCATGCTTCTCAACCACCTTCTGTTGGTGTTTCAAAGCACCCTATAACCTTCATGAAGCTACCAGACCTCCATACAACTTGCTGCAGATGTTTAGTGCACTACAATAAATCATAGCAGCTCTGTGAGCAGAAGTGTGCTGTGCCACTCAAAGATGGGAGCAACAGATAAGCTATCCCATCTTATAATTTCGCAGCATATAGATAAAAAAGGCAAACACATAATACAGCTATTCTCAGTCCCCTATGGGTAAATGTGGCATGAAAATGAAATGAAGAGAAAATGTATTTATTTTTACTGATGTCTTGCTACATAATTTATTAGGCTGATGCTGCTCATTATGTTTCACACTCCATCATTTTCCCTCTATGAAGTCTCTTACAATATCAAATGAAGAAAATTTATATTTAAATTAATAAATTCAGAGAGAGGCATATTAATATTCAAATCAAATATGGTGCTATTGTGGGGCTTTAGTGGGGAAAAATGCTTTTATGCAGAGCACAATGCAGAAGTGATAGGCGGTTCTGTTATCTCATTCATTAGTCATTCTGGACAGTTCAGACAAGCTGTTACATACAATAATAGAGAGTATTTTACTTTGTAAAGACTAATTTAAACTATACTATAAACTCAGTTGCGGTAAAGCATTTATTTATTTATTTTCTCTCACAAAATAGACATTTGCATTCTTTCTAAAGGGACAGGGAGTATTCATACAGCAATAGCCAGGAATCTGACATAAGGCCTGATAAGTAACATATTCTGTCTTGGTGGGAGAGTGACCTWCCAGGTCAAAACGTCCACTTGCCTAATAAATTCATGATACGTTTCAGAGATTTGTAMAGCAGACAGGGAAGAGGGTGGCTCTTACCATCAGCTTTGGAAATCTTAATTCCTTGTTTGTCTTCAGCCCCTAACTCACTCTTTCTTCTGTGTTACTGCCCTTCTGTAATCAGACTCACCACCCTTTTGCCCATTCAGCAATGTCTCTCAATTTCCTTCGTTGATACTATCAGTGCACAGAGTCAAGGATGGGTATTATTATATCCATCCTGAACACTATTTTGGAAGCTCTGAAACTGTCACATCCAAACTGTCGTTCTGGTATAGTGGAGAGTAACATGATAAAAGAAAAAATATTAAAAAAAGAGTTTAATAAATATCAATGTGCTTCCCTACTGATTATGTACTTTCAAATTTTTATGTTTTTCATCACAAAATAACCACAAAAGTATTTTCAGCAAACATTCACCTGTTAACTTTTTTTTTTTTTTTATCATCAGCAATTTTTTTGTTTTGTTTTGTCCAGATGGACAAATAGTCAACAATTTAATTCAAAACAATAATTTGAAGAATAAAACAATTGGGACTGAGAAGGTAAAGCACTAAAAGCACATTTAAAAAAAAAAAAAAAAAAAAGAAAAGTATAAGGATCGACACTAAATTCATGTCCATCATGATTACTATGCTATCATTAAAATGTCTATATTATTAACAACATCCTTCTCATAAGGTACCACCCAAATCACTTGGGCTCAAGTGAATGAATCCTGGGTTTAATGACTTGCCATGTAAGAATCTAATAGAAATGAATTGATCTTGTAAAGTTACAGCTGTATTTAACTCTCTTCTGCCCTATCACCACCTTCCCCTGCTGGATCCCAKGCAATTTGGAACCTAGTGATGCCAAAAATGTTTACCCTGATTCCATGCTTGTGGGCACTGGCTTTTTCTTGTAATAAAGACTACATCATGCTTGRGTTTTGAGTTACAGCAGTTTTATACTGAAGGATACCAGGATAGTTYTTTTTCCACAGAAAGGTCTTTTTAAGGTCCTCGAAGGGTTTTGGGCAGTTGGCTGAGTGAGGAGAAAATATCTGGTACAACTCTGACATCCTTCTAAAATGAAAGAGGAGAGGCTAGTTTCTGCTGGGAGCCCCTCGAGGCAGATGTTGGTATGTAGAATGGATATGACATTTACAGACATCCTTACATCACAAGGCTGCGGTATGTGATTCCTGCATGAAAACCTCAAATTCCTGGAGATTAGGCTGCTTTCCCAATTTATATACTTTTCTAGCATTTTCCCTGTTTTCAGTGTTTCTTCCCAGATCCTAAGCTTGAGTCTGGAAGCATAAGCAGACTGCTAATAATAAATATTTCTGGCATTTAGGTTTTACGAGTAGCATCTGTAATTATATTACTCTCACTGTAAATAACATAAGCACTATTGCTTTATGATGGAAATGAATTCAGAAGTCTGAATATTTATGAATTAGTATCTTCCCTCTAAGAGAATATGACAGCATTGAAAACATGCAATTACCAGAAATACCTATAGTGATTAAAATGGTAATTAAGGACAGCCACTCATATTTGCATAAAATAAAGCAAATTACAGATGAAAATCATATATATATGTTTTTAATTTTAGGTGGCGTGTCATGCTTTCTGCACTTAGAAGGAATAAACTGCTTGCAGACTGCTGGTCTGTTTGCAAACAGTGGGTGCTACAAAGTACCTAGAACAGGACAGCAGTCACATAGGGGCACCCAGATATTGTCACAGGGAGAGGAAAAACCTCTGAGAGCGCATTAAAGTCACAAGTATAAATTTATTCTAGGCATAAAGTTGTTTTGCCCTCTTCAAAGGAATATTGTGAGGTTTATGGCCTAATTCTACTGTCACTGGCATCTGGAGGCAAAACTAATGCCTTGCTGAATACTGAAGCAGTAAGTTAATTTATAAGGAAAATGACATGTTTTCATTTTAACTCATACTCTTGAGTGACTTACTGCATCCTGAAAACAGTCATACATATAACATGCATCTAGACATCTGTTGCAAGAGGCCTATCTTTGCTTTAAATATTCAGTATTATGASCAAAAAAGGTCTTTTCTTAAAGGATGAAGACTTATTTCTAAATCAGAGTAACTCAGTAAGCTAAAATAATTATCAAATGCTCTTCCCTGGATGAACTATGACAAACTATTATGTTTTTTAATTCAGATATTCAAAAAATTGATTGGCTGAACTGTTTTTGCTCAAGTTAAATATTAAATATAATGGCTCCCAGGCTGACAGGAAACTCTAAAATTTGCACGTAGACACTAAAAGTTTCWAAAAAGTATGAGCCTAAAGTTAGTTCAATGAAAATACCTATGGATGCTTCATTACAGATTTCCTTATAGCAAAGGAGGTTCCAGTTTTGCTTGGAGCAACCTGGGCTGCTCTGTTCAATTACTATCCTAGACCACTGATTTATCTGCCAAGCAGATCAGATACAGGATGGCATCTTCAGACTTCCTATTTTCCTCCCCTTTTCTACTTAAGCAAGTGCCCAAATCAGAGGGCTTATGAGAGGCTAAATGCAACGACAGTGATAGTCTCTGGTGCTCGGCTCCATATCTGTAGAGCACACCACAAATGAAACCAACCTGGATAAAGCAGCATCCATCAAACCCTAAAGAATAAGTCCAAGACATCAACAGAAGCTGGAAAGAATACACTTTCCACTTGCTATCCTGAGTTAAAGCAAACGTTAAACACAACTTCCTTAAGATATGGTGCATAATAAAGTCAAGTACCTTTAATGTAACTCTTCTTACCATCAGCCACCTGCATAACTCCCAGCTGAAAGCGGCCTGTCAGGTAGGTCAGGTACTATGTGATCCACTAAATGCACAGGCAAAAATAACTCAAACCTCTATTAAAAATGCACAAGCAAAGAAATCAGTGACTTTTCATGTCCTTCTGTGTCCATATGCAGCCACTGCTGTAGTAATTGAAATTCACAATTTCACAGAGCTTTGCTGCCTTCAGTCAGGAACTTTTTCTCTGCCCCAAAGAACACAATCAAATAAGCTGGTTAACAAAATGATATAAATGTCATTTAATAAACCAAATCGGGAAACTGACCTAAATTAAGAGTTCAAAAAGCTTAAGTTAAGATTTCATTTCAGATAAAAGTACTTAAAATAATWTTTGGACAAAATTAATATTGATAAGGGAAATTACTGTATTAAAAAATGTTCTTGCTGCATTCCTTTTTCAAGCAACTAGTATTAAATCGCAGGTGTATAATAAATTTTCCATAAGTTAAGTTAAAAAGTTATGAAGTATTTTTAGATAATTTTAACAGAAGCCATTTTGGGGATTTTGCTGCAAGGAATTCATTAAGTATCCTAAATTCTGTGATAGTCCATCTCTTAAATACTGAGAAAATTCACTTCAGTCTAGACTTTTGTTTATATAAAAATGTAATCTGCTTTCTCTTAGAAGGCATTTTTCTTTATAAAGTGTGATAACATGAAT